CGCATTCACTACTGCATGTTTGATGAGTGTCATGTCTCCTGGTGAGATTTTGTTGGAGTATTGGAAGATGACTGGAACAATGACCATGTCGAGAATGGCATCGCCGAGGAACTCTAATCGTTGATAGGACTGGGTGGATTGGTCGTGCTGGCAGGAAGGGTGGGTGAGAGCCTCGATCAGGAGATCCTCGTTCGTAAAGGTGTAACCAAGGTGTGTTTGCAAGTCACTGTCTATGATGTGGCGCGCAGTTCGTCCAGGCTCTGTTTGTGAGGAGATAGACGGGATGTGCAGGAGCTGTCTATTGACCTCTGGAAGAAAACAATGCGTGCATATCTGAGCTTTGGCATGGCCACCCTCTAGATAGGCGGCTCCGATCAGTGCCTCAACCACGTCCGCCAATACCTTGGCTGACATCTGTCGCTTGACAGGGGTAGCCCCCAGACTTGTGGATATCAGAGGTGCAATCCACCGGCGAGGAGTGAGCGACTTTGTCATAATGAAAGCATCCAATCCAGCGTCAAGGGCAGCCCTGGTGAGCCGGGGGTTTTGGACAATGGCGGTGCGACCTTCAGTGAGGAAGCCCTCCGGCCAGTTGGGGTTCTGAAAGAAAAGCTGGCACGAAACAAGGTACTTCAGAATTGAGTCTCCGAGAAATTCATATCGCTGATAGTTCGTCACTCCTTGAGCCGAGGGTGCCGTGATGGCCGTGATAACATGCTGAATGTCCGCGAACCCGACGTCACACAGAATGGTTGCGCACAGCCTGTTTGCGATCAAGGTACCCTCAAGTCTGTCAACAATGTGTGGGATAAATAAGCCAAAGATGGCTGTGGACACCGGTAGCTTGCCGACAGCACAGCTTTTGGCAGCCACCATGTGCACCCTAGCAGAAGCAGGTTCCGACCCAACGATGACGTCGACTTGGCCGTTATCTAAAGTTGGGGGATGCAAGAAGTTCCGCCGACGCGGGATAGGCCTGCATTCTATCTCAGTCAAGCCAGCTTCGGACTCGACCCACCTATGGCAGAAGAACGGCTCGTCGTAGCGCGAAAGGTCCCGGATTATTCCCACCGCACCGGGCATAGCGCCTCGTGAGTACGCCTCACAGGCAGTTTCATGCCCTTCGTTTTGAAGAAGCCAATCGGTCAACTCGGTACTCGGTATGTCAGGCCCAAATAGGGTCACAAAGTCATCATTATCCAACAGCTGTCGGCTGCGGGGCGCTTGAAGGTAAAGCGCAGTGGCTGTCCTTAAGTTCGCGATGCAGTTAGTGGTCACTGTCGAAATACGCTCTGGGACATCGAATGACAATGTGAGAATGGTATCGCGGTCCCAGAAAAGAGTCAATGGAGCCAGTGGGGGCAAGTTTGTCGGCCCGATTAGCTTCATAATTAACCCATCTGTTGGGTGTCCGTTGCTTTCCAAGCCTATACGCATCTGATGTATATCCGGACATGACCACGAGTTTGCCCACTCTGTCCAGGGATCATACTGTTCAGATACGTCTAATAGCGCAGGCAAAGTGATATGGTCGTTCGGCCTCATCTCCGGGTTTTTCGTTAATGGGAGAAGATGGTCGTTCAGAAGGCCAAATTCATAAAGGGCCCGGTATGCCTGGAAAGCTGTTTCTTTAACCGCTGCACGCTCAGTCTTCCACCAAAGCTTTCCCTGGATGCGACGGACTTTGGGGTGCACGCAGCTAGGCAGGATCACCGTGCCTTTCATCAGGCCAAGTCTATCCTTCTCGAACGAGAACTCCGGCCTGTTGTCAACATACCGTTCCTCGGGAAGCACGGCGCAGAAGTGGTAAAGATGTGTGACGACTGAATCTGGTGTGATTACGGCGCTGTGATGATATTAGAAAGGCAAAGAATCATTCGTTTCAGATGAGACTATACCCAGTAGCTTCGACGGTGATCATCTCTGGCACATTTTCATCGACTGCCTCTTGCGCTTCTGCCTCACGGAGCAGTCTCTCTTCGTCTTGATAAGCCTCGACCATAGCCTGCTCCAGAATTTGCCACTTGCGCAAATCGCCGTGCTCATCTACTTTGGAGAACATGATAGCGTACGTTGACTTTTTCTGTCGTGCTCGACCGCGCCGTTGGATGAAGGATTTCAAATTAGCGGGCTTGTCAAAGCATACGACGACACGACAGGCTGTGACGTCGATACCTTCTTCTAAGACACTTGTCGTGACAATCAGATTTTTGCGCCCGCTTCGGAAGTCGTCCATGGTTCCTCGCTGCTTCTTTGCGTTATGCCAGTCGCCCACCATGTCCTGGCGACAATTGCTACTTGACATGCCAACATAAGCTGCGCATCGGAATCGGTCCCTGGTTTTGGGGTGGAGGGACAGTAAGCGGGCGAGGACGCTCACAGTTACTCTTTGCTGTGCAAAGATCAAGCCGGAGAACTCGGGGTCATCGAATTTTTCAAGGAAGTTTATCAACGCTGCGAGTTTTGGTGACATCGGGAAGTAGTTCAGATCTGCAAGTTTGGCCTGGACCTCCGCGATTGGTAGTTTGGACAAGAAGTTTGAAAGGTAGGCTCTCTCCTCGTCTTCCCAGTCCAGGGTCAAAGACTGATCACGAATTGTAGTGCGCAGCTGCTCTACGGACGTGCAGATGTAGTAGTCTGCTGCCCACTCTCCCAGTTCTGCGAAGATGTGACGGCTGCGGTCTACAAAGCGTTTGATTTGCTCATTGCAGAGGGTTTTTCGTATCATCAACGCTTTGTACTCCCCGTTCCCGTTCGATAAGCTGTCGTTCTGTAGTATAGCGTCTGGATCCTCGTCATTGTCCGCCGCATCCCACGCGTGCTCCAAGGCTTGCAGAGCCCTGCCGCCAGGCCCTTCATCTGTGGCTTTGAAGATGATGGGCAGTAACTCGGGTCTATGGGAATACGTGGTGAGTTCTTCTTTGTGGACTTGCGGAGTTTTGCAGATGGAGTCGAGATTCGACTCTAAAGTTCTGGGCAAGGGTTCTTCGCGTTAGTTCTCTGGCCAGGCAAAGAGAATGATGGGGCTGTGTTCTTCCCTTACTTCATCTCCTGACTCTTTGACCTGACCACTGGACTAGCTGTTAGACCCAAAATGCACGGGACACTGTCTCTGCCGTGTTTCCGCAAGGTGGGGTGATAGAAATCAAGCATAATCATGTTCGCGGGATGCCGCCGCATGCAATGATGAGCTACACCATCAGCAATCTCAACTCCTACGTCGAATATCTAGAAACGACTACCAACCTTCGTCAAATATAAGTAGACCCAGCTGGGACATCCGGACAAACCCATGAGTCAAGGCCTCGAACAAAACCGCGTGAGTCGACACCACCACCTGTTTGTCTTTCAACAGCTCATCCCAGATATACTGGCTCTTCCAGCGCTCGACCTTGTCCAGCCCGGTGATCGTACAGGCTCTCACAGCGGGGAGATGACTACGTATCACCTCATACTGCTGAAAACACAAGGCCACAGTCGGAGTCAAGAACCAAGTCAACTGCATCCACAACAACAAGAGAGAAAGAGAAATCAGCCAATGTCATCTGAATCAAAAGAACAATGAAACTCACCTTCCGTGATCCACCGCCCTCCAACTGATGAGCAATCCGTAAGAGCGCACTAAAACCCTTTAATCAAACCTACCCAAAAAAAAATAGGTAAAGCAAAGCAAGCCTAACCCACCGCCGCACGACTAAACCCACCACCCCAAGAAGAAAAGGAATCAAAAGATAGATCTCACGTACATCTGAGTCTTCCCCGTCCCGGTATCCATCTGTGAAACCTCATCAGCAACATATTCCCCACAGAGCAACCCCAGAGAGTAAGAAAAGATGAAGAGCATACAGCAACAATGATATTCTCCTTCAAACTAGCCTCAAACATCTCATACTGATACTGCCGGGGTTTATACAGCAGTCCAGCGCCATTTGACCCATTAAGCTGATCCATAGTTCCCGGGCGAGTGTATCGTAGTATACTGTAGCGTAATATAGTGCAGAGTAGTGTATCAACCGTGTAGAGCAAGTCAGAAGTGTAGAGTAGAACAGCACACCAAGATCTCACTCCGCGAAAACACAGATGCACCTAACCTCAACGCACGAACAACCACATACCCAAAAAGACACCCACAACTCTAAATAAAACTAGAAAAAAAGAACAGCTATGAATGAGAGTGCAAATAACACCAGGGTATGTTAAGTACAGAAAAAGAGGAGAAAGTAAACAACCGGAAAGTGGGACTAGTGTTGGCAAGGCTGTGGTGGTGGTGTGTAAGTGGGGTAATTCGAATGAACAATGAATGGTATAGGTTATTCTGCCCTCTCTATCTTATCGCATGGTTCATGGCCGCGAACTTGGTACAGATATTGACAGGAGTTCGTTCTGGTTTGGGTCTTTTTGTTTCTCTTTTTTGTTTTTATGTGTTTTTCTAGGGTTTGGTTTATTTTTGTTCATTGTTATGTTCACGATTTAGAAGAACTAGTTGAAGCTTATTATAGATTGCATCTGGTACCTGGTTTTGGGTCGGGTTTGGATATCCTTATTTTTACTTGGTATCTGGGTATGTCTTGTTCGGGTTTCATTTTTCTTTCCTTTGCTCAAACGGACATGTTCGTGTACGATTGATGAGTAGTACATATAAGCATATGATAGATGTGTTGAACGGTAACTATTGAAAAAAAGGAACCAAAGGGGGGACTTTGCAGTCTAACTGGTCAATGTATTTATCGAGTCAATCCACGGTCAAAAGTATTAGACGGCGGTCTTCTGCCCTTCGCACTGGCGTTGGAGATCCAGGCACAACAGAACACCATCCCTTCCAAAGCCATTAGATAAAGAAAACGTAGCAGCATCACGCCATACACCCAACCATAAAAACGGGATAGTACAAAGAAAACAGCACATAACAAAAACAATCAGTATCAAAAGCGATAAACACCGGTATCCGAAGGTAGCACAAGGGTCAGGAGCTTGAAAAAAAGGACAACAGCTGAATGCGATCATGAGACCATGGGAAGCCCATGTGTGGATGGCTCCGTCTTTGTCGCTTCCGGGTCAGCTTGAGTCTCGTCGGGGCGTGTCCGACGACCCGCGAAGTTATTGCCAAGGTAGTTAGCCTCTTCATTGGGATGCTTGCGCATCCCCAAGCCGGCCACGGCTATCCGGTTCAGAGAGTTCATGTCGTCGTTGGACGCAGCACCTTGAGGTGGCTGCGGTTGTTGAGCTGCCGAGGGCGGCGCGGGCGCTGATGAAGACGTCGTCGCAGACCCGGCACCGGGTTGCGGTAGATTCAGGTCGGTTCGTGGCTGACTCAGGTCGATGTTTCCTGGGAGCTCAGGCACCTCGCCTTGGGATTCCAGAAGTCGCGACTGGAGATTGATGATATACTCGCGCAACTGATAGTTCTCCGCCTGCAGAGCCTTGAAAGCCTCCGACATGGTGTCAAACTCCTTCACCTGCTCCTCCAATTTGCGAATGTAACTTTCTTTCCGTTGACGGAATGCTCGCTATTCCCCAGTCAGCAAGGTCCCCAGCGCATGAAAGATTCCCAACGTACCTGTGCGGCGCGGTTCTGCGCAGCGCGCTTGGAGGTCGACAACGGTCGCTTGCCGTACGTCTTCGGGCTCTCTTGGCCCGTAGGCTCCGGCTGCGGGGGTGTTTGCGGCGGGCCGCTGAGCATCGCAGCACCTGATATCGCGGGATCAATGTTGTTTTGGTCACGAGGGCTTGTCGTATTGGGCTGCATGTGCGGTGGCTGCGCGGTAGAGGGCTGCGGACGCGGTTGCTGCGGATGCGATAGGTGTTGATGGGCCGCTAGGAGCTGGTCATGGAGCACTAAATTCAGGAACCAACGCGCGTCAGCATTTCCGCGCACGTACTAGGGAATAGTAGCAGATCCATGGGTAAAGATCCCTGATCAAGGCCACTTCACAACACGCGATCTTCTTCTTTCATTTGGTTTCTTGTTGTTTTCGGGGGTCTCTTGACAAGCAATACAATGTGACACATACCCTGATCCGCATGGTCCTAGAGATGCAATTAGTCTATGCGATGATTTCATCAACTATTTGGCACTTGAGGGAACGCGACCGCGGAGGAGCTTCTCGTGTCAACAAGTAGGATGACACCGGGCCAGCTCCCCCGAGCAAACGCGAGTGAAATCAGCGCCGAGGGACACCGTGAGACATCACTCGAGTCCCAGTACATCTCTTGGATGCGAGTGGTGGACAATGGGGTACAGGCGATCTGATGACAAACGGTGGGCTGCTTACCTGAGCAGATGTTTGCATGCTTGGATGCGGCGCTGGAGCTAATGTAGGCTGCATGGAGAGAGTATGGAGGTTCCAACACGAAGACGCGCCGAGAGAGACCGCAAACACGCACGTCCACTCAAGCTCAACCAAAGAGAGGTTCAGATAGTTCGAACTGAATCCACGGTCTTTCACAGTGGACCAGCGAGGAGGTTTGTAGAGGAATTGGAATGGAGCGACGCGCGATGAGGTAAGCAGCAGCAGTACAATAGTTTAGTTTAGCTATCGGGGTTAGCCAAGGCGATGATGATTCAGCCGCTGTCAAAATCGTTTTAGTTTTGGTAGGAAACTAGGTGTATTTTGCTGACTGATGAGGATGATCTCGTAAGCAGGGGGAAGCGTGAACTGGTACGTTGACTAAGAGAAAAATGAGCGAGGGAGAGAAAGACGGCGGATTAGTTAAAAGATCAGTCAGACCGTGACGTGGGCGGCAGGCAAAATGAGGAACCGCCCGGTGAACACCTGAGGCAGGAACTTCCCTCCCGTCGGTCACCGGCCTCCGGTTTCATATATCCCTCTTTTGTACAACCGATGGTCGTAGGTTTCTTCTTTCTCTACATTCCTGTATATTACTACACGAATTCATTCCATCTGTACTCCAATCGATTCATTTCCTCTACGTAATGCTTCGAGTCACCGACCGGCAGGCAGAACCTGGCCAAGGCATCAACCACAACAATCCCCGCACTCTCCGCGTTGCTGACTCAGGCGCTGACTCATCCTTCCGGCTCTTCCGTTCCGCAGTCACGGGAACAGCCTCCCCTGCCTCACCTCTATCTTGATGTACGCAGGGCCATAACTTGGTTACCTGCACAATACACTATTAAACACTCGTCATGGAATAGTTTTGCTTGGTTCTGGTAACAGAAATGGTGGTGCTATGCACAGTTTAAATATTAAACTCCTCAGGCGCAAGTCTACTCAGGCTCGAGTGTACTACTAGTTTTTGTGCACCATACTGCGGAGTAAACTATATAAATATATTTGTTCGACCATGATGATTCCACATTTAATCATACCAATCTGCTCTAACCAGCACCTTTAAAACCGAAAGAACGTTGCTGTAATCACGGATAAACGCAATTAAACTATGTTCTACTCAAATAGCTGCACATAGTATCTCATATCTCATAACCTAGCTCACCTCCGCCTACGGAGTACAGACAGGAGTGTCTATTTGTCCAGCCATTATCGGCCTTTGGCCCTTACCGTAGAGTTCTGCCGGGTACTGACTATTGAGGCAGGCGGAGGTGTTAGCGGTGAGACAGCCTGTAAGATCACGTGGTAAAAACACGTGACAGAAATTATTCTCTCAATCGAACCTCATCCATTGCATTTCTTTTCGTTGAGCTTATCATCTCATTCGTGCTTTTCTGGACTATTGAATAAACTCACCAAGTTAACCAAATACAGTCCATCTCCCTGAGATACCGGGACAGTCCCTTTGGACAATGCCCAAACTCCGAAGTCATAGTTAGATCGTGTACTCAAACTCCCACTAGGGACATCGAGATATATGCCTGCTGAAAGATAGCGTGCAAGACTACAGATGGAAATCTTCCAGTGTCGGATACAATAAAGCTCAGGCGAGATATTTCTACTTATATATGTTGATGATTACAACTGAGAAAGCAACTGCAGCTGCTGTACTGGAAGGCTGAAGAAGAGAGAGCGATAAACAATGGAGATGTCGAATTGGAAGTGGAATATTCTAGAGATGTTATATGCTCTTCATGCTCAATAGATATCCACATATTTTAACCTACGTAATACCCAATGCGCACCTCCGGTTTTGAGCCAAAAGGACAATCATCTACACCTACTTATCTAATTCGCGTTGGGAGAACGAAGCCAACATACAACTAGCTGTCCTTAGTACATTCTTATCCAGAGGAAGGGGCTGATGATTCTGTTGGGGAAAACAAACGCCGTGATTAGGGCTCATCGGCCCTCTCCATCTGGTGCCGAGCACAGACAGCAAGAAGCTTCAAATAGGCGACGGACTTCCTGAAACAGACATTGCTACGACCATTGGAGCGAGAATGTACCGTGGTTTTATGTTCAGTGGATCGTGGATGCCGGCCCACTTCAATCATTGGGTCGGAGTCTATTTGACTTCATGTGAACTTTAAGAGGTTTCAAGGTTCGACAGTACTTTAAGCGAATAGGCAGAGAAAGCTAGGAAAGTTACTTTCGAGGTAGCTGGTCATAGTGTTATGTCCGGCAAACTTACTCTAAGCTCACGGTTCTGCAGGTACGTATCCGCAGATCAAACCTTTTCTTATTTGATCTATGGTAGAACGAACCTTCTATCTCGCTTCTTTTTTTCTCTTTCTTCAGGACCTGTCGCCTAGGAACCTTCTTGATCTGGTAAGGATGTTCTAGTCTATCGCCTCAAAAATGGTGATAGGAAAATTTGAACCAAGGCTTACCTATCGGAATGTCCGAGATCTTGCTATCAAAACTCAGAAACACAGTATATCTTCTCCATTAGCTACACATAACATGGATCAAATAATCGCCGCGCGGCTAAATAAGGTTTGCAAGACAAGGAAGGTCCTTCCAGTGCTTCTCCATCCGACAAGAAAGAAGAGAGAGCTCCAACGCAAGTCTCCTTGTTTCGAAATACGAGCATCTTGACCCTCCCTTCTCCACTCGGTAGTTTTTGGTCAAACACATTGTGGTCCTTCGCGCTTTTCGGTGCTTTTCGGAGCTTGTAGGAAGAGTTTTATTTTCTTTATATTTTGTTTCTTTTTCGTGGTGGAGATTCTGTACAGAATTCCCGGGTTGGATAATGGATTCATCATTCCGTGTAGGGTAGTATTGAGGGTACCATGAGTGGGTTGAGTTTCATGACCTTATGGAATCAACAAGGATACGGAGGAGTAAAAACTCTAATCGCATTAACCTACGAAGGGCTTGCGTAAATATCAGAAAAAGACAATATGATGGTTTCACCCAAATAGATGCTATTCATGGATATCCCGCATTGTCTTTGAGTCCCTAGACCAGAGTACAGAGCAGTGGTTCTGCATTCCGCCGGACCGAATACATGATTGTGAAGCAAAACCTAATTTCGAGAAAGCCTCTTGCCATAGTCCAGGTCCCTGATCGGGTATCCCAAAGTATGTCTTAGAAGGAAGTCGATAATAACAATCACCGATTCATATCCCAGTATAACATTGGTTATATATCCACCGCTTTAACTTGACAGGTTGACCCCAGGCTCGACGGATGGCATTTGTCGCGGCCGAGACTCCTGCAGCTGGATCGAGCTCAATGGGACATGGCTCCATATGGTCCTCTTAATAGCACCATTGGCGGGTTTCCGAGTCCCATAGTCGAGTCATCATCGCAGTCACCGAGATCAACAGCGCAAAAAGGGCCGGATCAACAACGAATGCGTGCCAGGCGTCGTTGGGGTTCCGTTCCTCTGTGCTGAAGTTGACCTGCAACTGGTCACCGGGCTACACTTGAGCAGACCCATCCGGGAGTTCAAACATCGCGACACCCGCGCAGATCAGCCTGTTGAACAACAGACCCGCCTGAGGCCCCAGAGAATTATTGTACCGTACGCCTTCTAACTGAGCTTGAAATGAACAACACAATCATCGGCACCACATGTGAACTGTAGATCTGTCTCATGGAAGTCAATGAGGGTGCTCAGGAAGGTGATGTAACCATCCGAGAATCAACCCAGGTTAAGCCCAGAGTAAACCCAAATTCGTCGAATAGCTATGATGTGGCGCTGTTGTACCCTAGAATTCCCTTTCTGGGACTCGATCTATAAAATCGATGTGATGGCTGGAAGTGCTTGATCGTAGCCACCTCGAAGCATTGTATATATACGGTTTCCTAACAGTCGGTCTCGTTGTGCGAGGCTACAACATGAGTCGACTCCGTTCGGCATGTCTTGTCTGTGTAGCTCTTAGTGCTCTATTGCAAGGAACTGAGTAGTTCTCGAGAAGGCCATCCAGGACTTCAGTATCACATGCAGCCGAATATTGTCCACGAAAGAGACGCAATTTTGGGAAGTTTAACGTAAGCTAAACTATCACCCTTGGCGATGTATCCTTGTTTGTGTCGAGGTGACAAAGTTTTGCTATAAACATGCAGTTGATGTAAGTAATAGTGTTATAGAGAACACCATGTATTGGAAGGATACGCTGTTGGGGTGTATCCTTTGTCACCCATCCAGAGAGGATAATATCATGGAGGATTGCATTTCAGTCCGAACGGCGTTTCCCAGAGTGTTTCTGTTAAAACACATAAAGACTACCCAAACATGTATAACCATTGTAATGGTGTTCTGTGGATGTGCGACACCATGGTCAGGGATCGTTCCCCTAGATATCAAGTTCGTATCACATGTATATAAAGTTGATATACGTTCAGATCCTTGTCCAGCAAACCTTCCATATTGGTTGGAGCCTGATTCAACCCCTAATGCATAGGGCATGCATAATCTTGCTCAAGGTCGCCGGGGTCCAAGTCTCATTTTTAAGACTCATGAGCCTGACCCACTATGTGGGCGCATGTGACAGGAACCTCACTGCATTGTCATTGTGGAAGATATGAATGTATAAGGAAAGAGCTTGGTATGAGAGCTCAAAGAGATCAAATGATTGTACTGAGTTGGTTGGAAATCTGTCCAGGACACAGACATGATGAGAGTTTAAATAAGCAGGGCTTCACAAGACTGTGCAAAGAGCTACAAGAATGTTTACAGCAGAACAAAGAACTGATGGCATTATCACGTGTTGATCATCGATTATTTTAGGCACGTGCATTGTCACTAGTTGAGCTTACCGGATGCGCTGGTGAAGGTATTGGGGAGATCTACGCAGGCTTCGGCCGAAGCCAGCCTTATATCTTCCTTTATTCACTGTTCCATTAAAATTTGTACAATTGAACGCATATATACATCCGCTTGCAGCAGTAAGCACAAATAATGCAGGGTATCACCAGGTCGACGGGATATACAGACCTAACGCTGCGTCCCCACTGCTCTAGAACAACAGGTCATTCAATCATAAACCAAAAATTACTCAGCTTCCGCAGGAGAATAGTCGACATAGCACACGGCATTATCCTCGAACGGTCCGTAGAACCGGCTACGCTCGTACGGCTCGAAGGGGATACCCTTCTTTAAACGCTGCACTAGATCCGGGTTACTGGTGAAGT